TAGCTGCACACCTGTGACACCCACATGCAGCAGCAGCAGCAGCAGCAACAACAGTTGTAGTGGTATGAGCAGCAATGAAATATTTTCATTTAGGACCGAAACATGCAAATAAAATTCAAATTAAAAAGTAATTTAAAAATACATAATCAAACGAACTGCTGCTGATGCTGCCTGTTTGCTGCTTACGGTGTCTATAGCGCCTATTGCAAGTTTCTGGTCAAGGAATAAAAGCGGAAGACGCCTCGCAATTATATCGCTCACTGTACGAGCCTGCTCATACCTAAACAAACAAAATAAACAAAAGAAAACAAAAAGAATTACAAAAATGACAATAAAAATAACAAAATCAAACAAAAACTAATGAGGAAGAAGAGAGCAAATGGAAACAGATGAGATACCGAAGAAAGCTTGCAAAAACAAAGCAGCAACGAAGAAAGCAAAAAAACAACATAAAAGACAAACACAACCACAAACACACAAGACAAACGAAAACCAACAAAAACAAATACAGCAGAGAAGAAAGCTAACACAAATAGCCAAGGCAAAGAAGAAGGAGAACCAAACAAATGAGGCAAAGAAGAAAGCAAGCACTACAACTGGGGAAAAGAAGAAAGCGAACAAAAAATACAACGAAGTAATTAAAAGTGTTTGTGATGATGCAGATGCAACACCTACGCAAACAATCTCTTTTTTGGGGTTTTGCTTAGCAACTTGAATGTCTCTAATTGGCTTAGAGAGAAGGCAGCAATGCCTCTGCCTGTCTATGTCTCCGTCTCTATATCTGTCTGTCTCTGTCTCTATCTCCATCTGTCTCTGTATCTCTGTCTCTGTGGGTCTGTGTTTTCTGTCCCTCTTTGTTGGTATGTAAGAGACAGCTGTTTGTGCTCTCTGTGTCTCTAAATGAATGTGTATTTAAAGCCGCAGAGAACAAAGCGAAGCAAAAAAGAAGAGAAGCGAACCTGCATGCAAACACAACTTCCCCCTTCAAATACGGGAGCCCCTCCACGAGTGGCTCCATGAGGGCTTCTTTCTTTGCAAGGTCCACGACGTCACGCGAGATAAACCCATAATGACTAATTAAATGTGCCCTTTGTTCAAAAGACAAAGAAGGGTAGCACATGCTTAACTCGTGCTCTAGCTTCCCGCTGCTGAAACGGCAATCCTGCAGCAAACGTACACGCATGCATGCATTTTTTGCATGCAAATATGCATTGGCGCATGCATGCATGCATGCATTGTTTTCTCCCATGCTTGCCTTGTTTGTATGCATTGCTCGCATGCATACAAACATGCGTTGCATGAACCAACAAACAACGCAAACTGCTGCACTTCAGATATACGAAGAAGGTGAAGAAAGCAGCAGCGCATGCAAGCTGCAGCGGCAGTATACTGGAGAAAGGTAAAAGAAGTAGCTGTGCATGCAAACTGCAGCAGCAGCCCCCCTTATGAACGTATTCACCCCAACCAGCGAAGGCCCCAAACTCCCTGGCGCATGTATGCATGCGTGCGCCGGCTAGCAGAGACAAAAGGAGACGGCAGCAACAAATGCAGCAGACGGAAACCAAACCAGTAGATGCAACAAAGACAGAGGCAAACTAGAAAACAGCAGACGCAGCATGTGAAGCACCTCGGGAGCGAGACGTCCTCTCGGGTCCACTGCCCCTTGAATCTTCATTCCTTTTGTTCTGCATGGAGATGAAGCCGCCACTTTGTCTCCGTGCACTTCCAAGATCTTGTCTACTGTGTCCTGCGTACATGCGCCCCAATAACCCCCAACGCAAGTAGCCTGCTGTGCTGTCCTTGTGCAGCTGTCAGCTGTCTCTTTTCTCGTCTCTCCCCCTCTATGCGTGCAACCCGATGCAAGTATACAACCCGCTGCATGCATGCAAGCACGCAGCAGCATTCCTGCAGGGAAGCAGTATGCATGCAACATGCCTGACCTGTGCCATGCGTCTGTAAGTTGTCCATTTGCCTCCTATTAAGCTGATGAGACCTGACGTTGGATCAACTAAGACGGTGTGGGATCGAACGACTCCCGCAGTATTCTGTGCCTCCTCAGACTGCGACACCAACGGCCGGTGGCCGCACCAAACCGACTGAATGTCCTTCCTAAAGAAACGAAACAAAATATATTTCGAATGCTTGATTATTCAGCTGGAAACGAAATGCAGCTGCCTTTATTCACTGTTGTTTTGCTCTCGTTTTATTCAGCGATATTCAATATGCAGCTGCTTTAAGCAATGCAGTTATTTTCAAGTGATTAACTCCTTTATTCAACTATGATTCACTTAGCACCAACAGAAAACACCAAAAAGCAACTCACCGCATTTGATCGGGGTCTACCTTCAAGTATGAAGAGAGTTCTTTTACAAGGAAATCGACATCCTCCTCCTTGGGCCTCGGATCGGCCGCCTCCAGTGCAGGAGCATCGGTGGTACCCGCAAGTGTCCGCCCCTCCCAAGGCAACAGAAAGAGGACGCGACCGTCGCTCGTTTCCGGCAACAGCAGCCCAAAGGGAGTCTTATGCGTGTACCAGTGCGGCAGCACAATGTGCGCACCTGCGAAAATAATTTCAACAAACTCACGAAATCAATTCAACAAACTCACTAGAACCATTCAATAAATCACGAAACCAATTCAATATATTCACGAAATCAATTCAACAAACTCACGAAAACATTTCAACAAATTCACCAAAATAATTCAACAAATGCGCGAGATCGATTTAATAAATTTACGAAACCAACTCAATAAATTCGCGCAATCAATTCAACAAACTCACGAAAAGAATTCGGCAAATTCACGAAATTAATTCAACAACCTCAGGAAACCAATTCAACTAATTCGGGAAACCCCTTCAGCAGACCCACCCATTCAACAAACTCACAAATATACATATATATATATATCTTTATATATATATATATATATATATATATATAGCTATGCACATATATTAGATATACCTGCTGCTGGTGTCAGTAAAGCCTTCGCGTCTGCATGGTCCATTTTACGCACACGGTCTGCCAGTGGTCCTGAAAAAAAATAAATGCAAATCCTAAACCAACAACCCTAAACCCTAAACCCTCTACCTGCGAAAGGGGTGCATGAAGAAGTCCAATGACACTACAGCAGCAAAGAGTGCCCGGCATCATGAAGGGTTTAGGGTTTGAACAGTTGTGGTTTTTTAATGTTTATGTTGCTGTGGTTTAAAGTTTAACTCGCTGGACTTTCGGATTTACGCTGCTAGGGTTTAGGGTTTAGGTTGTTGGGGTTCTGACCAGTGCAGTTAACGACGACCTTGGCACGAATACGAGATCGATTTAATAAATTTACGAAACCAACTCAATAAATTCGCGCAATCAATTCAACAAACTCACGAAAAGAATTCGGCAAATTCACGAAATTAATTCAACAACCTCAGGAAACCAATTCAACTAATTCGGGAAACCCCTTCAGCAGACCCACCCATTCAACAAACTCACAAATATACATATATATATATATCTTTATATATATATATATATATATATATATATAGCTATGCACATATATTAGATATACCTGCTGCTGGTGTCAGTAAAGCCTTCGCGTCTGCATGGTCCATTTTACGCACACGGTCTGCCAGTGGTCCTGAAAAAAAATGCAAATCCTAAACCACAAACCCTAAACCCTAAACTCTCTGCCTGCGAAAGGGGTGCATGGAGAAGTCTAATGACACTATAGCAGCACAGAGTGCGCGGCATCATGAAGGGTTTAGGGTTTGAACAGTTGTGGTTTTTCAATGTTTATGTTGCTGGGGTTTAAAGTTTCAGTCGCTGGACTTTCGGATTTACGCTGCTAGGGTTTAGGGTTTAAGCTGCTGGGGTTTAGGGTTTAAACTATGGGGGTTTAGGGTTTAAGCTATGGGGGTTTAGGGTTTAGGTTGTTGGGGTTCTGACCAGTGCAGTTAACGACGACCTTGGCACGAATAATAAATTCTTCTTTCGTTTCGTTATCTTGCACTTTCGCCCCAATCTGCAGACAGCCCCAAAACGAGAAACATATATATATATATATTTACATGTATGTAGTTCCTATACAAAATCCAGTGCATATTTCTCTATATATCTATAACTATATCTATACATCTATATCTATATATCTACATAGATATATGTATGCCTATATATCTATATGAATATGTATATATACATATATATTGTAGGGACGCACAAATATATATATATATATATATATATATA